AGTGCCTCCAGCTGGGAAGGGCAGCAAGAAGAAGAGGGAGGCGCCTCAAGGAACTGTAGTGGGAGCTTATCCTACAGTGTGCTACCGACATAGACGTGAAGGACATCTAAAAAGAGACTGTCCTAAAATAGACTGTGGGTTTGCACAGTTTTGTGGCTGGGATAAGACTCCCAGGCAGGGAAGAAAAAAGAAAGTACCTACCATATCGGTATGGGTAGGGAGGAGCCACCAAAGGGACTAATGGACACAGCTTCATCCTGTTTGTTAATCGGGCAGGAGTTAGTGAAACCCCACTGGATACTTCCCAGAGGTAGGATCAAAACTGACTATGTACATGGGGACAATAAATTCTGCCCAATGGCAGAGGTGACTCTGGAAATCAAGGGGAAGTTTAGGCAGAAACATGTAGGGGTAGTGGATGGATTGCCCCACTGCCTTCTACTGGGCATGGACTGGCATCCCTTTCTAACAGGGACACCAAGGCATGTATGGAGGCTCAGGAGGGTGGAAACAAAACCTGAAGGGCCAGGTAAAGAGGAAATATATGTAAAGGGGCTGGAGGAACCTAGACACGAAAGTACAAGCCACAGAGAAGGTGAGGATGCAGAAGTCCCCTGAGAGACAAGAGGGAGGAGAAAGAAAACAAAGGTCAAGAGTAAAAGTGACTTAAGATCATCCATTGGGGTCAAACAGTCATCAGAGCCCTTACCACCAGGATCTCAGGAGCGGGCATCCCGAGAACACTTTGGAGGGTCTCAGCGCAGTCTGTGTTCATGGAAGAGGCCGGGGCACAGCATACCACCCCTCACATACAGGTACCTAAAATAGGCCTGCACATGGGCCAACGGCAGGCGCAGAACACTTGTGTCTGCAGCGCCAGCAATCACCTAGCTAGGTACCCATCCATGTGAACAAATTCAAGTTTTGTGGACAAAGCTTAGGCACCCATGTTTGAAAACCTGACTCACTGTGGCCATTACATAAGACCAGCCTTACTGGGTCAGTCCAATGGTCCATCTAGTCCAGTATACTGTCTTCCAACAGTGGTCAATGCCAGCTTCTTCAGAAGGAATGAACAGAACAGGGCAATCATGAAGTGATCCAATCCCTGTTGTCCAGTCTCAGTTTCTGGCGGTCAGGCCTAGGGACACCCAGAGCTTGGGGTTGTATCCCTGACCATCTTGCCTAATAGCCACTGATGGACCTGTCCTCCATGAACTTATCTAATTCTTTTTTAACCCAGTTACACTTTTGGCCTTCACAACATCCCTTGGCAATGAGTTCCACAGGTTGACCGTGTGTTGTGTGAAGTAGTACTTATGTTTATTTTATAGCCACTGCCCATCCGTGAACAGAGTTTAGATCCTGGTTTCCTAGGAAAATTCAGAGACATTATAAAACCCTGAAGTCTGTAATTTGAGCACCTTGTTGGCACAGAATAAAGAAACACAACAATAATAGAAACTAATAATGTTGTGAGATTGGTGGGAAATGTACATTAATGGGCTATCAGAGCTGAAGTCAACTGATGACTCAGGAATCTCTTAGTGTTAACTGGCGAGGGGCACAGAGTGGGTGCAGAGTGGTCTGGTATGTACATTCTAGTTCACTAAAAGATTGCCATATGAGTCTCAAATAAAAGCCCATGTCACCAATATCATTGTGAAACACATGTACAGATGCGGTGTAAAGAGTCATGTATATGCATTGAAAATTACATTCTTATGATCTGTGTCTAGGGACTAGTCACCAGGAAAGGTGGGAAAATGGTTTTCTTTCAGGGAAGAAATGTTTATCCATCTGTTTCTTTATCTGTAAATTAAGCATGTAGGGTTCACATTCAGTTCAGAAGGACTGTGAGAACTTCAAAGAAAGAAAAGTAACAGGAAGTAGACAGGGGGTGGGGACCCAATTTTGGGGTACACATCAAAGGTGTGCTCTAGTATATTTGGGGGACAAAGAAGACACCCTGGCATCTTTCACTTAGGAAGTAGATGGACAGTGATATGGACAGCAGGGTTGCTATCAGGCGTGGTTGAGAACTTTGGGTGAGAAACATCTTTAGACAGGAGGTTAAGCTGTTGGTTAAGTTTAGTCTCTAAGAGCATGTTACGATTTCATTTTACATGTAACCATTTTTTGCTCACATTCTTACTCACTATCACTGGAATCTCTGTTCTTTGATCATCTCTGTTCTTAAATATATCTTCAAATATATCTAAGTGCTGTGTGTTTTGCCGTATAGCATAAGTAATAAAGTATAGAGTCTAAAGTATAAGTAATAAACTAGTGTGTACTGTTCCATTGGGAACAGCAGGCCTGGTAATTCTGTGGGTGTTCAGTGGATAAAGGTCTTGACACTATATGGAACGGTCAGAAGACTCGGGGGTTGGTGTGTGCCTATCACTAACCTGTACAAAGAGTCTGAGGTCTGAGGAGGTCTGGATGGCAGTGTTTGTTTTGCCAGAGCCTGGTCATTTCAGGGAACTGACCCACATCAGGCACAGACAAGACTTCCTCACTCTAAGGGCAGGCAATGGTAAGGTGCCTCGTAACCCTGGGAACTCCTGGGGAGTGTCACACAACTCTATTGCAATTCTCTTTGTTTCTCTCCCTTCCTTCTAATTACCGGCAAGGGTCGCCCTCAGTATGTTGTAGGTCTTCTCGGAATAGCATCCCGCTGCTTATCCTGGGCAAAGGCATCTCTTGTCCTAGGGTTCGGCTGACCTGCTGCAGGAGAACAGGAAACAACTCTGGGAGCAGCTCCTGCACAGCTTTGTTCGACTCCAGTGCTGACACCACCTCAGAGATGGCACATGTTGCCTGAAAGGAGAGCATGGTAAAAACTGAGAGCTCTTCCCAACACCATCACAGCCTCTCTCCCCTTCTGAGATCTGCTGTACGAAATTCTCACTTCTGCCAGTAACTTGAATGACTGCGAGCAACTCGCTTAACTCGTGGCTCAGTTTCCCACATCTGTACAAATGTGGATGACCTACCAAGGCATGTTGTGAGTCCTAAGGAATATTTGCAAAGCACTGTGAGAAACCTGGTTCAAAGACTTGCTAATTGCCAGATGTTATTAAGTAAATCAGCCACGTACTCTAAAACTGCCGTATTTGTTCCACAGACAGCAGAGCTGGACTGAGGGAAACAGTACAGCAGAGGAGAAGTGCCCACACAGCAATATTATACCACACTTCTAGCTTTGCATCAGCAGGATTGTCACAGGGCAGAGGAAAGCCTGAAAGACATGTCTGTCTTTACTTACTGAGAGAGGTTCAGCAGCTGCCAAATCCCTGTCGATTTCAGTCTCTGAGGTGATGCGGCCTTCTTGTCTTGTTGGAGTCTTTATTTTGTCTATGAGGATCTTTAGCACTTGAGTGGCAAGCAAGGGGTCTCCCCCCAGAGATCTCCACAGCTCAGCGATGTCACTGCAATTTAACAGAAGTTACATGTGACCCCTGGACACTTTTGTGGCTCAGACTGAATACGTCATATTTAAGTAAAGACCAAATTTTCTCCTTGCCAATGATGAGAAAGTTAGGAGTACTGTCCTCCTTTAACGCCCCTCGTGTTTAAATATTGAGTTTCCAGTTACAGAACTAGGTTAAGTGACCTAGTCTTACTGCAGCCTCACCATTAATACTAGACTTCAGAAGGACAGGACACAGAGCGCCAACCTCAGTTCCTGCTTTCCCATTTTCCAGTAAATATGGAATCATGAACATGTGGCTCCAAAGATCTAGGGATTGGAAGGCAAGTTGATGAAGGAAAAGCCATATTCCTACTAACTGGTGTGATATAGCACGGCCAGAGGACAGCAGGAGAGTGATAGATGGGAGATATGTAAGCCCCAGGATGATGAGAGCCTTAGTCCCTGTAGAGGGAAGAGAGGCTGCTACAGATTAATTAGAGCACCTGAAACCAATTAAGCCAATTAGAGCACCTAAAGCCAGTCACCTGATAAACCCCCCCTGCTTCAATCAGACAGTTGGAGGAGCTGAAGCAGAGTGGTTTGGTGTTGGAGCAGAGAGCAGTTTGGAGGAAGCAGTTTGGAGAAGTGCTGTGGCGGGCCAGAAGACCAAGACCCTAGGTAAAGGGAAACCCGGCTTGTGCAGAGCAGAGGGACTCTACAGACACAAGGGGTTGGGAGAAACTTGGCCCAAGCGGAGAGCGGGCAGGAAGCCCCACAGGCTGAAGGGCCGGAGAGGGAAGTAGCCCAGGGGAAGGAATCGCTAGTTCAAGTGGTTCACTGCTATCCCTAGAGCCCCTGGGCTGGGACCTGGAGTAGAGGGTGGGCCCAGGTCCCTCCCTCTCCACTCCCCTTTTCTGGGACACTAATGGGACAGTTGATACCCCAGTTCAGGGGTGAGAAACGGTGCCCTGCACCCCCACAAGAGGAGAAAGTGCGGGACGCAACATAATAGTGCCGGCAATTTGCCACACTGGACATACAACTATGAGACCAAATATTTGTGGTCATCCTATGTCCCCTTCACAAAGGGTGTCCCTACCCTCTGTTTGCCAGAAGCTGGGACTGGGCAACGGGACGGATCACTTGACAATTACCTGTTCTGTTCATTCCCTCTGGAGCATGTGGCACTGGCCACTGTCGGAAGACAGAATACTGGGCTAGATGGACCTTTGGTCTGATCCAGTATGGCCGTTCTTATGGTCTTAGATTCCAGCACTGATAACTGATAACTCAGTTAGGGATCTTTAAAGGAAATGATGGATCTGCTTCCAGTCCAGTTTTAAGTACCCAGGACAGCAACTCTATTCTAGCAGCCACACCCTGACTGATACCAAGCAGAGGTCTGATGATAATATTGGCTCTATTCTTTGTAATCAGCCAGGGATTTGGACTTGAAGCTGTCATGCTACCAGGAAACCAACAGCCACTGCTAATTTCCAGAGTGAGGTCAATTCAGGTGTCTAGAGAGGTAGATGTTTCCAACAATACACTCCAGTTATACCAGTAAAGATAGGTCTTTAGGATATCAAAGCAGCTATTAATTAATGGAAACAGAATGACACTTAATTTCTCTCCGCACCCCACCTTAACATGCTCTTGGACCTTCCTGCAGAAAGACCCAGGCTATTAACCTTTAGGAATTATCCCAAACTGTCTGCTGCTTAAATAAAGCCCTACATCTCCCAGTAAAGCTGTGGGATCCATGTTTCACCAAGATGAACGCAATAGGTAGCGGTATATACCTGTTCATCGGCAGAGGTTCGCCGAGGAGGCTGGAGATCACTGTCTCTAGGTCACGGTGAGCTAAAATGGACACCGCCTCCACCAGGAACTGCCTCAAGCTGCCCTCCTGGATAGTAGGCATGTGGCTATATATTATAACCAGGATATCTGGCACCTGGAAGGAACAAAACCAGAAAGAAATGTCCCTTTTTCTTTCTCTCCATTCATTCTACAGAATCAAAACCTTTATTTAGCCATTTAGCCAGTTGCTGCTTTTTTAGAAATTCTTCACTTCAAGAAACAAATGTTCAAATATGTCTGCATAAATTTAACCCACAAAAATTGCCCACACTTGGCTGTAAAAACTAACACTGACACACACATATACATACCAGGTAATTTAATGTGGTGGTGCCCAGCTATGCATTAAATAAACCCGTTCGCATGCACAAAAGAAGGCTTTCCTTGCCCACATTTTGCAGGTGTGATTTAAGCAGCCAAATCTGACCATTTGCCTCGAAGAATGCGGAGTTCATAAACAACCACAAGCACAAAATATGCAAGTGCTTTAAACACAGTGTGCAAATACCTGGGACTATGAACAGGTGACGACCTCTCATATTCACTCCTAACCCTTCACATCTTCAAAACACTGTGCAAACATGGCAGTTCTGCTGCGAGGGTTCCCTGTCCTGAGACCTTTCACCAGCCTTGTTAGAAGATTTGTGGAGTGCTCCTTTCATCTAGCCCTAACGCACTGGGCTCCAGAATAAGGCATATAAATAGTGGATCCCAAAGACACTATAGTTTTCTCCCTCCCTCCCCCCTTCTATTCTTAAAGAGTATTTCTACACAGCAAAAAAAAACCCCACAGCAGTGTAAAAGTGTAGCTGTTCCTCGTTGGGCTGGAGCCCAGGCTCTGAAACCTGGCAAGAGGGTGGGTCTCAGAGCCCAGGCTCCAGACTGACTGGGAATGACCACAGTGCTATTTTTATCCAGGTAGCCCTTAGCCATAGGCCTCCTAAGAACTGGATGATTCCAAGTGCCAGTCATTCTGTCTTCTTGTATTTTCCCCAGAGTCTGTTTTTTCAAGCCTTTCTTGGCTGAATACTGTGGCAACAAGCTAGACAAATAAATAACCCACCATCTTCCTTTTCCCTTGGATTATCTCTGTCTACTGCGATTGATTCTGCCATTGCCTATCTTAGGGTAGGAACAGAGATGGAATCGACTCTATGTCCGAGGGGGAGAAACAGCAAGATTTTTGTTCATTACACATAAGGGCAAAGATCTAAAAGCCTAGAGTTTAGGCAGAAAACCTCTCCAGTTTCCCGTTTTACCTTGTCCAGCATGGCATCTCCACACTCCTTCAGGATGATCTTCATCCACAGTCCAGCTGCCGTGGCACAGGTGGGGCTGGCAGACAACATACCACCCAATGTGGCCTTAATAAAGTCTGTGGCCTGTTCTGAAGGAAAGTACTCACTAACAACCTGGGAACAAATCAAAAACAGGAGAGACTGCAATGATGTCTGGCTTTTTAAAAATGGAGGCCTAATATCTCTATGAAAAGATATATGCATCAGCAAATTGTTAATTAGCCTCATGTCTAGTGAGCCATTTGGGATTACAATTCTCTCGACAGTCTAGAGACGACGTTTTTGTATTCGACACTAATGAGATCAGGTTAGAGCCAAAGCCTCTGTGGCACAGTTAGCACAACATTGTACTGGAGATGCAGGAGGGAAGTTTCCAGTTTGTTTCTCTTCTATACACGGCATCTTTTTACAACTTATCCAATGAAGTAGAGAGAGGCATGCACACAAACATAGGCTAAGGCAAACCCACAAAGTGACAGAATGAAGACTGGGTGGTTTCTCAGCTTGATGTTCCACAGTTTTTTCTCGTGGATGGCTGGATAGGTACATGTGTGCGCAGCTGCGTGCGTATTTTCATGTGCGTGCAACATTCTGTGGCATCTGGTTTTTACATGGCATTCATAGCACACATCTATGAAAAGCATCTTGCTGGTTACTAGCAATGAATGCCCCGCTCCCACAGCTCACTCCAAGTACGGAAAGGCATCATAAAAGCTTAAATGTGAAATGAATAGTGCCCCGCCACTAGAACATCCACACAAGCTTTTTGAGTCAGTTACCCTAGCCATTTTGGAAGACGCCTGAAACAGAGCCTCAGGGTCTGGAGCTGTTAGTGCTTCACGGAGACATCTCAGCTCCTCCGCCGCTGACCCCAGGTTCATGGACTGGCCTGGAGTGGAGAAAAGGAGAAAAAGTACTGTAACGATTCATGAAACTGAACCTCTATTGCATGGATATTCATACAGAAGGATCCATGTGCTATGCTGTTATCAGCATAGTGTAAAATCTTGGCCCCATCGAAGTCAATGGCAAAACTCCTGTTGACTGTAATGGAGTCAGGATTACACCCTAAATGTCTGAAAGTTAACAGTAGTGGTATGTTATTGTGAATGATACAGGATTGAACAAGCACTGTATTCAGCTTGGAGCAGCTTTCTGGGTGTGTCTGGTTTCAGTAGCCTCTCTGCTCTCAGTATTTAAATCTAATCTCATATTCAAGTACAAGTCATGCAGATAGATCTCAGGTTCCAATGTAGAGGTGAATCCCTCCACCAAACTCTCATTGTAAAAGAGATGGGTCTGGACAAAACCTTCGGCAGGAAACCCAGGCTCATCAGTCACTTCTAAACAATGCTGGGATTTCTATCTTGTACATGCAAAGATTGGAGTCCCTTCTTCTGTTTCTGAATCACCAACACTGTTTTTAGGACTGATTAATAATAATTGGAAAGAGGGTGACCAGATGTCCCGATTTTATAGGGACAGTCCCAATTTTGGGGTCTTTTTCTTATATAGACTCCTATTACCCCCCACCCCCTGTTCCGATGTTTCACATTTGCTGTCTGGTCACCCTAATTGGAAATGGCCTTAAACGATAACCAAGCTCTATCCCTTTACATCTAACCATTAGGTGAAAAGAATATCCTACTCTTTCACAAAGGGGAAAATGGCCTACATTTACTCCAATAGCTTTGAATGCTCATGACAGAGGGCTGCTGGAAGAACTTTTTGTTTAAAGAATTATTCCAGGAAACCCCTCCAATACAGTCAGTGGCAGGGTAAAGAGAATGAAAATGTTTAGTACCAAGGGCTTGTCTACATGGAGATAGTCAAGAAAGCTAATCCAAATTAATTTTCAAAATGCATTAGTTAAACTTCATTAAACACCTACGGGGACATACTTATTTAGAATTAAAGGGGCCTTATTTCAGGTTAGTTTAATTCATGTAATTCACTAAAATTAATAAGGGCCATTTTAATTCAGAATCAGAGCATCCACACATGTGTTTAATGCCACTTTAAATTTACACCTTTAGTTCATTTGGATTAACTTTCCTTAGTTGTCCCTGTGTAGAGAAGCCCTAAGGAATTTAGCAGTTATCTACCTGTATGCAGACCATTTATTATTTGTACAGTTCCCAAAAGTGTGCTAGGCTCTTTACACATCATAATCTTCTCTTCTAATGAGGTATTTACAAGATGCCACCATTCTGTTATCTAAATGCCAACAGACAGGACAGAAAGAACTAGACAGGCAGAAAAATGGACATTACAACAGTGAAAGAAGGTGAAGAATTACTTATACCTGCTAATGGTGAAGAATTACTTATACCTGCTAATGGTCTCCTCACCTTGTATACAGAGAAGGCAGCTGATACAGTCAACCACCCACTGACGGGACGTGGCCAGTGAATCACAGCTGTATGGTGCTATTTGTCCAATCAGAGATCCAAACCGATTAAAAGTTTCCTGAGTCTAATTAAAAAAGAATGAAGAATGAATGTTCTCCAGCTGTATGAGACTTCACTTTCCATCCTTATTGTTGATACCAGTCAGCTCTGTGTTTTTGGGGAACCAGGGCGCAGTATCTAGCTGGTGTGACTCATGAAGGACACCCCTCACCCCGTCTCTGTTTGAACCAAAACCGATCAGAGAAAAGGCTTGCAGAGAACAATGAAGGGCATGGGGAGACACACCTAGACCCCCCCTGACAAGGGTGACAAGATTAAGACGACTCCATTTGCATGCAGAATGAAGAACAGAGACAACTCCCCTAGCCTCATCCGCATGAAAGATGGGATAGGGATTAGCATAAGGAATGAAGAACAGAGAACCGCACTGAACTCTTGGACCAGAAAAGTGGGGACGCACTGCATCATGGGAATCCCTGCTCCAGATGCTAATGAACTTACGCCTGCACACACCCAGCTCAGCAATTATCAGAGCAATTCTAGTAATAAATCTTTGACTGATATCCCAAAATACTGAAGCAGCCTAGTTGCCTTGTGAGCTCCCTGGAAGAAAACAACACCCAGAGCCAAGAGTGATCAGCTCCTATTGTCTAGCCCAGGGGTCGGCAACCTTTCAGAAGTGGTGTGCCGAGTCTTCATTTATTCACTCTCATTTAAGGTTTCACGTGCCAGTAATACATTTTAATGTTTTTAGAAGGTCTCTTTCTATAAGTCTATAACATATAATTAAACTATTGTTGTATGTAAAGTAAATAAGGTTTTTAAAATGTTTAAGAAGCTTCATTTATAATTAAATTAAAATGTAGAGCCCCCCGGACCGGTGGCCAGGACCCGGGCAGTGTGAGTGCCATTGAAAATCAGCTCGTGTGCTGCCTTTGGCACGTGTGCAATAGGTTCCCTACCCCTGGCCTAGCCTAAAGAAAATCCTTGAGCCATCAGTTTACCCATAAACAAATCTAGTGTTCTCCCTTGAGCCATTGTATTTTCTCTACAAAACCCCCGACCTATGCCCAAGTAAGGGTTCTGATGTATAGACCCAAACTCTGCATCAGTTCCACTGGGATTCCATCTCCTGACTGATCGTGCTGGGGGCTCTGCCTGTCTCCAGCACTCAGGACCCTGAGCTACCACCATCACCTGGGAACCCCGACCAGTTCAAGCCTCTCTCTTTTCTTTTCTACCTCAGGTATTAACCTTTAAAATGTAACTGTTATGTTTGTTTAGCCCTCCTTGTGTAGTTATCACTATTATTCAATAAATAACTTTTATGGTTCAGCTGGTTGCTTCTCTCTCTCTCTCTCTCTCTGAATTTTACTCTTTTGTGTTTTTAGCTTCCCCCATTTACTCTGCAGCAACGCTTCTTGCACCTAAGCTAAAGATCCCTGTAGTGCCCAAAAATACTGTGGGGTTTGCTCATCAAGTGTGTTACTCCCAGTACAATTGTAATGTGAAAGTGTGATAGGGACGTGTTAAACTTGGGGCACATAAGGGAGGGGCAGCTGAAAGTGCTGTTCAACCCAGCCTATTGAGACCGGGGCACATAAGGGTACCAGCTTGAAAGTGCTGCTTAACCCAGCCCACTGAATACAGGGACATATGAGGGGATCAGCTGGGGAGTGCTGATTGACTTGCTCTGCTAGTGTGTGTGTGTGTGTGCGCATCTTCATCTAGTTCTAGTTATTAGCCCTGGGGAACCTAGGTCCTGCAGGATAGCTCCATTGGGAGGGGACTTGTAGAAAGAAGGAGTAGAGCTCCATATGAACACACAAGTGACATAAGCAGCATATTAACAGAATTACAGAAAACTCCCCCTCCCCGAGAAGAGTAACCCTAATCAATGAGCCTACCCAAAGTGACAGGCACATCTGATAACATTGTGCCTCTGATTCCTGTACTGAACTGGGTAATGCACATTGGAAAACATAATCCCAATTGTACATACAAGCGGATGGGGTCTAAATTAGCTGTTATCACTCAAGAAAGAGACCTCAGAGTCATTGTGTACAGTTCTCTGAAAGCATCTGCTCAACATGCAGTCAAAAACCATAACAACATGTTAGGAACCATTAGGAAAGGGATCGATAATAAGACAGTAAATATCATTATGCCACTACATAAATCTATACTACCCCCACACCTTGAATACTGCGTGCAGTTTTGGTCATCTCATCTCAAAAAAGATATGTTAGATTTGGAAGAAATACAGAGAAGAGCAACAAAAATTATTAGGCGTATGGGACAACTTCTCGTACAAGGAGAGATTAAAAAGACAGGGACTTTTCAGCTTGGAAAAGAGACGACTAAGAGGGAATATGATAGAGAACTATAAAATCATGACTGGTGTAGAGAAAGTCAATAAGGAAGTGTTATTTAGCCCTTCACATAACACAGGAACAAGGGGTCACCCAATGAAATTAATAGGCAGCAGGTTTAAAACAAACAAAAGGAAGCATTTCTTCACACAATGCAGTCAACCTGTGGAACTCCTTGCCAGGGAGATGTTGTGAAGGCAAAAGTATAACTGAGTTCAAAAAAGAATTAGATGAGTTCACAGAGGATAGGTCCATCAATGGCTATTAGCTAACATGGTCAGGGATGCAACCCCATGATCTGGGTGTCTCTAAACCTCTGACTGCCAGAAGCTGGGGCTGGGACTGTCCAACAGGGGATGGTTCACTTGACAATTGCCTTGTTC